TTTTTAAAATAGTTAAAAAACTGAGTAAATATTTTAATTAGAATATTTTAAATTTATATATTTTATTTAAAAATAATATTTTTTATGAGTTTAATTTTATTTAATAATATAAAAATTTAATAGTTTCATAAATTTTTAAAATTAAAAATTAAATTTCAAAATAAGATATATATATATATATATATATATATATATATATATATATATATATATATATATATACATAATTATATATATATTATAAATTTTTTATTATAGATTTAATATAAAAATTAATTTAAATATAAATAGTATTTTACAAAAAACAAAAAAATATAAATAAATTACATAATACTCTCTTATTTTATATATATAAAAATAATGCTTATCAAATAAATTTTTACTATTAATATTTCCAGACTTAAGATTTAATGAATTTTTTTTAAGGAGTAAACAAAAGTAATAATTTTTAATTTAAATTACATTAATCATCTGCTTTTATATCCTCAATTTATAAATTAATATCATCCTTATTATTATTAAAATTTTTTGAAACTTTAAAATCATTATCTGATTCTTAACTATTTGACTAGTGGCTTTTTAAAGACTTATAAGATTTACAATAGAAAGATTTAATATTATTAGTTTATATATTTAATATAGTACTATTTAGATCTGTTAACCCTTCATTAAAATCTATAGATTTATTTTCTTCATCTAATGTAATACTTTACTAAATTTATATTTTATTTTATTTTTAATTGTTAAAAATAGAAAAAAATTATTTTTATATAGACATTTTTCAACGAATTTTTTGTTTTATTATGTGTAGATGATTTCAAGCTTTAAGAATTATTTAAAATGTATTTCCTTAACCATTTAGATTTTAGAATTTCGTTACACTTAAACCTTTTATTAGGATCAACTTCTAACATTTTTTTTAATAAATATTTAGATTCATCACTTATTTTAATCCATATATCAGAATCATAAGAAATTTTGCATTTTTTATTATTTTCAAGTACTTCTTTACTTGTTTTACCTTTAAATGGAGACTAACCACTCAATAAACAAAATAAAATAACACCCAAACTAAATATATCTCCTTTTTCTGTATAGGGCTGTAATTTAAATAGTTCAGGAGGTAGAAAACCATGTGTTCCTGCCCTACTTTCTAATTTTTAGTAATTTATTTTTTCAGCAAAACCAAAGTCTATAATTTTACAATCTAAATCTATATGATTTACTAATAAAATATTTTCCAATTTTAAATCTCGATGGACTAATTATTGACTTTATTATAAATATATATATATATATATATATATATATATATATATATATATATATATATATATTTATATTTATATTTTTTAATTTTTTTACTTATGCATATATTATAAACCTTATGTTATATTATAAATTATCATAGCAGCATCTTCTTCTTTAAAATTTTTGATTTTTTTTAATCTTTAGTAGAGCTCACCTCCTTATATATATTCAGTAACGTAAATTAATTATGTTTATTCTTAATAAACTTCTTCTAATTTTGCAATATTTTTATGCCTGCATTTTTTAAGGGCTTTATATTCATTAATTAACATATTCTTTTTTATAAATATATAATAACTAAAAGCATATTTATTTATTACAAAAAATTTTTCTTTATGTTTGTTTTCTTATAATTTTTCTAATTTAATAATTTTGGCTGCAAAAGTTTTTTAATCTATAATTCTTGAAATTTTACATACAACGGCAAATGAACCTGTTCCTAAAATTTCCTATAAAACATAATTATTATTAAAATTTTATAAAATGCACATCTATCTCATTTCAGTATACCATTTATTAATAATTTCTTATTATTTTGAATATAGTTTTCGAACATTTCCATCCCTTAAAAACTCTATATAATAAATATTGTAAGTATTCCCTTTTATTGTTTTTTTTTCTATTACTATATTCTAATCTAATATAATATACCCTTTGAATATGTTACTTTTGCTATTATTATAATATACTAAATAATTTCCTATTAATTTGTATTCATATTCTTTTGAGTTTTTTTATTTCTTACTGATTCTACTTAAAAAATTTGATAAAATATGCTTATTTTTTATACTTGATTTTAAATTTAAATCTATCCCTTCATCATCAATCTCTAAATTTGAACCAACTAAATCTTCATTAAATGTGATGTCGTTTAGGGTAAGTTTTTATGTGTTTTTTAACCAAAAAGTGTTTTTAGTACTTTCATTTGAATTCGTTGATTTTCGACCGAAAATAGGCCACCATTTATTTATGTCATCATCTGAATTTGGCTTTTTTTAGTCATCGTGGCGGAATAGGGTGGATTTTTCATTTATTTATTTATTTTCAGGGTTTGACATATATGGGAATGTTTAATTTTTATTATTGTTTTTTGTTTATTTAATTAAATAATTAATATAATATTTAAGTATATTATTGTGTATTATTTTTTTATTATTAAAAAATAAAATAAATTAATAATTAAAAAATAAAATATTTACAATATATAAAATATTAATTATATTTTTTTTATAAATAAAATAATAAAATAATTATGTTTATAAGTCTTATTTTCAAAAACTAAAATATTTATTCTATATATTTTAAAAAATTAATATAAATGAATTTCTAAAATATAAATATATATATTAATTTATGTTTTCATAAAGTAGAAAAAGTTAGTCTTTCTTCTTCCTTAACATTCATTTTCAAAATTGGCAAAATTTATTTAAAAATTGGATCTTCGTAATTTCCTATAAGTTCAAAAACTGCACTTTGAAAAGTAGTTAAATGAGCTCCTGCCTATTACATTCTTTAAAAAGCAGTTAATCTATCAATTTAATTCATACTAGAAATCCCATCAGTAAGTAAAAACACTTAAAATCCTTTTTGTAATAAATCCAAGCATGTTTATTGTACACATATATGTGTTTCTTATCCATATAATATAGCTTATTTTCTTTCTTGATATTTATCCAAAAACTATTATGTGTCTTTATTTAACATTGAAAATGTACTTTTTTCATATTTAGCTGATAAATGTGTAGGTATGTCTTTTGATAATTCCTCCACTGTGTCACCAAATACACGCTTATTTTGGATTGTTTCTAAAATTGGAATATTCATTATGTTTGCTATTTAGGCCATTTAACGGGCTGTGTTTATTACATGTTCGATTTTGAAAATGTGTTTTCTAAAACCCTGTTAAATGTCACAATTAAAAAAAATAGTTTTATCTTTTTCTAATCTTCCTATTATATTTTTTTACATTTTTATTAAAATTAGATATTTTATTATTTTTAAATTTTATTTTTATAAAAATAAATAAATAAATATATACATTATAAATATTAATATTGTTCTTTTTAATCTTTTTTTGGGTATTTTTTTAAATACTAAATTAATATAAAATATTTTTTATATGAGATTTATTACTATTTATAAAATAAAGTTTTATGCGTTTTTTATAAAAAGGTAAAATTGATATTATATTATTTTATAATGCAGTTTATATTTATATTAAATATTTAATTTAAGATTATAATTTGATAAAAAAAGCTTTTGAATAGAATTATAATAAAAAAAAAAGTAAAATAATGAAAATTATAATAATAATAATAAATAAATTATTTAATAATATATAAATAATTATAATAGATGTTTTATAAATAATTTTTAAATTAAAATAATATTTATTTATTAAATATATACAATTATATAATTACTATTTCTATTATATCAATAATAATAAAAATCAAATTTAATTTTATCAATATTTTATATTATGTACTATAGAATTAATGACTTATTTATTAATATTATTATTTTATAAAAAGATTGCTCATAAAAATACTTAAATTTATGTATTTTTTATAGTAATTAATTTAAATCTAATAATGTTAATAATATAAAAAATATATAATTGATAAACTAAAAAAATAAAATATTTAAATTTAAAAAAATAATATATATTTTATGTAAACATATAAAGAAATATTAATCTAAAAAATATTTTTTTTTAAAAAAAATAACAATTAATTTTTTTATAAATTATATAGAAAATTATTTAAATTGCTTTATTAAATAAAAAACTATCTTAAATAACTAAAATAATAATATTAACAGTTATTAAAAAATAGTGTTATAAATAATAATATATATATATATTAGTATTTTATAAAATTTAAAACATTAAACTTAAACTTTATTCAAGTAAAAATATTAAAAACAAAACATTTAAAAGAGAATGGATATTGTATAATAATCAAATGATATTTTATAAACAACTTAGATAAGTAAATATTATTATCAAAAAATAATAAACTTTAATAATAAAAATAAAAAAAATAAAAGATTCTCAAAGTATGAGTCATTTAGATGATATGTATTAAAATAATGCAAATAATTCTAGAGAATAAATATAAAACATTAATATTATTTTATGGTAAAATAGACAATAAAACAATTAGAATAATCATTAACAAGTTCAAGAGATAAATCATTAAATTGATATAGATAATGATTATTAGGAAGAAATATAAATGTCAATAAGAATGTAATAAAGAAATTAATAATAAAACATTTAAAACAACGAAATCATAAATAATAATAATTAAGAAATAAATAATTAACAAAATATATATTAAATAGAATAAATAAATGATTAAAGAATAAACGTTTAAAACATTGAGAATAATATTCTTCAATAATAAATTTAAAATATAGAATAGAATTAATAAAATAATATAAACAGAACATTTGAATAGTAATTATAATAAGAAATTTAAAGATATGAATCTAGTACTTATTGCAATGAAAATAAATTGTTTAACAAATGGTTTTTTTAATAGATTACTAATTTAATCTTTATACATATTATATTTCTGTTTTTAATTCTTTGTTTTATTAAAGAAAATATAAATTTTGCTTTCCCTATTATGAGTTTTGTGGTTTTTCAATTCTATAAATTATCAAAAATAATTCAATATCATAATTTAGATGATGTGTAATTATATATTAAAAAATATAAATATGTTTATGTATAAAAAATATAAATATGTTTATATAAATATATATATTTATATATTTATATTTATATTTATATTTTTAGATAATAAAATGTTTTTTTATTCAAGTTAAAATTTTTGGAAATTTTTATGTATATTTTATCATCTATATTTTCATTTTTCTATTTTAATTTGTTTTCTTTTTCGCTTTTATATGTAACAATACCTATTTTATTATCATGCATTTTTAGATTTATTATTTATTATATGAATAAAAAGAATAATGATTCTATATCTATTGTTCATCTTGTACTTATTTATTATTTTATATTTATTTTTAGCTTATTATAATTTTTAGACTTTTTATATGTGTTTAAATTATTAATATTGCACTAAAACTAGAGAGGTATATAAGTTGGAATTGGAAAGAGGTTTTTTGGGTTTTTTGGATATTTTTTTCTATTCACTCTAGTATGTTAGTAGGATTTGTTTTGATGATTTTAAATAAAATATGCAAAGCAATAATTGATAAAAATTAAAGAAAAGAAAGTTTATTAAATTACTATTACTATTATAATATATTTTAAGTTTTAAATTATTTTTTAATTAAAAAGCTTTAGCAATAATTTGGGTGTTTAGTGTCATTGTTGGAAATACTTTAAATATTTATTTTATTGTATAAGGTATAATAGATTATTTAGAATTCGAAGATAAATGTAATACTTATAATTTTAAAAAATATATATATACATATATATATATACATAAATATATATATTATATAATATATTATATTATATAAATTAATATATATAAATGTTTTAGATTAACTAGAAATTTCTATTTCTTTTAATGCATGTTTTTGTTTTTATACTATTATATCATCTATGTACATAAAAAAATGCTTTAAGTAAATACATATATTAGATAATTTTTTTTTTTATTGAAATTATATTGAAAAAAATAATTAATATAAAATTATATAAAAAAATAGAGGTTTTATTGAAAATGTGTATATAGAAGAAGAATAAGATAATTAAAATTTATAATATGGTTAAATAAATATATAAAATTAATTATATGTATAATAATAATAATAATAATAATAATAATAATAATAATAAAAAAAAAAAAAAAAAAATTACATATTTTTTTAAAAGAATTAAATAAACTGAATTTCCTAAATTTTTAGTATTTAATAAATAATTAATATAAATAAATATTATATCATAATTTTATTATATAAAAGCAAAGATTATCTTCTACTTATTTTAAATATTATACTTAAGAATTATTTAATACTAATAGAAGTGATCTAAATAAATGTAATGCTTAATATTAAAAAGATGAAATTGTTAATTCTTAATATAATAATTAGACAGATGCTTAGTTTATTAATACTAATATTTAAAATACAATTATATAATAAACAATTAATAATAATAATATTGATTAACAAAGTGAAGATATTACCATCTCTAGTGTTTAAACTAAAAATAGAAATCAATTAATAAATAATTTTATTTAAAAAATAAATTTTATTGATAAATAAATGAAATAAAATAATAATAAAGTAAATATAAAATTTATATATATAATTTAGTATTTAAATAATTTTTAAAGATTAATTCTGATTGTTGTCTTAATTATTAAAAATAATCTGTTATAAGATAAATAAATAGTGATAAAAATATATTTTATAAATAATATGATAAAGATAAAAAAGATAAATTTTTAAATGAAGATAAAAATTAAAATAAAGAAATAAATAATGAATAGTATAAAGATTAAAATAAAGATAATGATTAAAATAAAGATAATTAATAAAACAAAGTTGAATAATAAAATAATTAAAATAAAACTCAAATAAATTAAGATTGTAAAAATTAAAATTATATTATTTTTAAAAATATTATATATTTTATAAAAAGAAACTGAAATTTAAAGTGATTAAAATGCATAACTTTGTTTAATTTGTTTTAATTAAGAATAGGATTCGCTTTTTATGGACTGTGGTCATGGAGGTATATTATAAAAAATTTATTTTTTATTTATATATTTTTTATAAAAAAAAGGAATATGTTATTAATGTTCTTTAGAAGTTTGGAAATAAACAAATTAATGTTATTTATGTAGAAATGTAATATTTTTACTTTTTAAAAATTATATATTTTTAAATTTTTTTTATAAAAAGTAAATCAATTAAGTATTATAAATAGATATGGAATATAAAAAAAAAGATATAATAAAAGTAAAATATATAACAAAATTATGTGAAATATTAAATATTGAAAAATGAACAAAAATAAAAAAAAGAACATGTATATTAAAAAAAAAATATTTTTATTTAAATTGATCATATAAATAATTAAAAAATATAAAAAATTACTATAATTAATTTTATAAAAAATTAATATTTATAGTATTATTTATATTTACTCAAAAATAAAAAATAAATTCAAAAATTCAAAAAAAATAAAATTAAAGAAAAATTACTTAAAATAAAAAGAAAAAATTTAATAAAAATAAAAAGAAAAAAATTTAAAAAAAATAAATAAAAAAAAAATATTCATTCTAATTATAATAATATTTATTTTTTTAAATCTTCGATTTTCGTATTTTCTATATCTTCATAAAATTTATTAAAATCGAATTTTATATCACAAAATTTCTAATATGGATTTGCACAAATAAATATTAAAGAGGCTAAAATTAATGTTTCTTATTCGGAAAAAGAAATTATATTTTTTAGTTCTTTTTTAACTTCTTAAAGTGTTTTTTTCATGTTATTTTTGAAATTATCGTCCATCTCGAAATTTTTGTTTAAAATTGTCAAAAAATCTTTCAAATTTTAAATTTTATCTAATTATTAATTTTATTATTAAATTTCTATATTAATTAATTCGCTAGTTTTTTTATAAAGCTCATCGAAAATATTAGTTGAAAAAGCAATATCAGCTTTAATAACTCCTAAAGTTTTAGAATATTCTTATGATTTAAGATAAATTATCCACATTTATTAGTCAAATGTATCCGATTTGGTACTTTTTAGAAAACTATTAATATTAACTAATTAAATATTTTAATATTTCGAAATACAAAAGCAAAGTCTAAAATAAAGATCAGGTTAAACAGGAAATTTTCCTTCATTAAATAAAAGAACACATTTTTAAATAACAAAATTACAAAAGAAAGATATATTTCTTTCATAAAGAAAATAATCATTTATTTTAAGAATTGTTTTTCTAATAGAATCATTATGTTTCTATTATTGAATTATTTAATTTAATGCTTCTTTATTTTTTTCAGGAAATTAATTTACTATTTAATTTTCATTAATATTATTTTAATTTTTCATTATATTTTAATCTGTATTTAATGAAAAATAACCAGCTACTAAATTTCTTTTTATATATAATTCGTTTAAATTTAAACTTACTTCAAAATTTTAAATAGGTTTATATATATTTTATTATTCTAATATCTATATGAATTCAAATTAGAATACTTCTTCCCATGAAATTCTATCATATTCTTCGTATTATAACATATTTCTAATTAGAATTTTTAATTGCTATAGAAATAATAATAAAAAATGTATAAATAAAAGTAATTATATATATATATATATATATATAATATATATATATATATATATATATATATATATATATATATATATATATTTTTGTTTTATTTTTCATTAAATTATTAGTATTAAAAATATAATAAAATTTAACGAAATTTAAATTTAATATTAAAAAAATCGATATTGGTTTATTTCTATATATTGTTTTTTAGTTTTTAATTAAAATACACAAAATAATAACTATATATTATTTTTTTAAAAATACTTTTTATCTTTTAGGATGTTCTGGAAATTTTAAAGCAATTGTTTTTATATTTATTAATAATTAAGTTTAATTTGTTGCACTCCAGGGTGTGAAACCATAAAGCATTTCATAAAGAACAATCCCAACACTCCATACATCGCTCTTATAGCTAAAAGGTATCCCTTCTGAGATCTAAGGAGCCATATATAAAGGAGGTCCCAATCTTGACATTAATATAGGATAATCATCATCGATAACTCTTGAAAATCCAAAATCTGTTACTTTTGCAATTCCATCGTTTAAAAGTATATTTGCTGGTTTTATATCCCTGTGTATTATATTGTTTTTTCTTAATTATTTAAATGCATTTATTATTTATATTAAAAATATTAAAGCTTCATTTTCTGTAAGTCTTCTATCTTTTTAGCTTTTTTTTTATATATACATATATATATATTATAACCTTATTTTTTCTTTAAATATTATTTTAAATCTCCATCTTAACAATATTCTAAAAACATATATAGATTATTTTATGTACGGGCTATATCGTATAATTTTACAATAAAAGGGGAATCTAGCATTTATAAATTGAAAATTTCTCGTTTTATAAAATCAAATACATTCGCAAAATCTTTCATTGCTTTTATTTAAAGTGTTTTTACAGCAACATGTTTATTTTCATCTTGTTCGAAAAAACCTCTATAAACTTTCGCGAAAGCACCTTTTCCTAATAGATGGTTTACGATAATGAACTGGTTTATTTTTTTAGTTGTCCACTAGGGTTCTTCGTCTTAATTTTATTATTATTAGGTAGCTTTAGTATTCATATTATTTATTAATATAAATAAATATAGTATTTTATATATATGTATATATATATATATATATATATATATATATATATATTATATATTTTTTTTTTTTCAAGTATCACTTTTATTTTTATGAAATTTATAATTTTTTTTATATTATTATTAATTATATTTTATTATTTTTATCATAATTTATTTTATAATTTTTATTTAATTTTTAATTTCTCTGTTAATTCTTTTACGTCTTCTAATTAGGGGTCCATATTATTAAGAATATCATTTGCATATTTATAATATTATTAATTGTCATTAGGAAAGAAATCACCTAGCTCTAACAAAATTTTAACTTTTTCAAAATCCTAAGCCCCTAATAATGCTTTGTCAAAATCGTTAGAAGCTTCTGAGTGCATTTTTAACATCCATTTAAGTTTTCCACTTAAAAAATAATCATATGGAAGTACATTTATAGAATTAGAAAAGTATGTTTGATTATATTCAAAAGCTTATTCATATTATTATTAAAAAAATAGACATTGCCAAATTTAATTAATATTTTCAAGAACTATTTTAAAATCAATTTAATTTCCTAGCTGTTTTATAATTTCGAGATTTTAAAAAAATGAAAAAGTGGCTTTTTCCCAAATAAAAATTGATTTATAAATAAATGCTATTTATAGATTTTTAAAAAAAAAATCGAGGATTTAATCTTCTATTTTAGTAGAATCTTATCTATATTTTTCATCGAAAGTATTTTTTTGTTATTAAAAAATATTTTTTTCTTTTAAAAAAAATTAATCCTCTATATTTTCTAAGGAATATTAATTATTTTTTTATAATAAAAAATTAATTATTTTCGATGAAATCTCATCTTATTATGTTTCTTCGCTTTTTTTTATTGCTTTTTAAATAACACTTTGAGTCCTATTACTTGGAATAATTAAATACTTTATAAATAAAAAACACATCCCCAAATCCTCTTAATATAATTTATTTTCTTCTTTCTTCCTTATTTCATTCAAAAACTTATAATTATTATTATCTGGACAAAAACACACATTTTCACAATCAATTTTGTCAAAATAATATCCATGTATTTCTATTTCCTAAATGCTTTTTATTAATTATATATATATGTAAAGAAGTTCATTTTCTTTATATTTTTCATTCTATTTAAATCTTCTTAATAATATATTATCTAAAATCTCAAATTATTCTGTTTTTAATAAATATGTGTTTTCCAAAGGTCTCATTTCATAAACAGAAGGTTTTTCTAAAATTTCTAAAATCCCATTTTAATTCCCGTTTTTGTATGCGAATATTTCCTACATACAATTCCATTCATCAATTGTTGAAGAATCAAGTTAATATATACAAATTGCAAATTATTTTTATTTTTTTTCTATACAATTATAGTATTTTCTATTCGGAGCTTTTTTAAGTCCAAATTGGCATTTACTTTTAAATTAAAAGGTTATTATTTCGTTTATTATTTATATATTAGGGATTTATAAAGAGGGTGTTTATAATGTATAGGCTTATATATATGCTGTTATTGCTAAACTGTTTTATCTCGTTAGTTTTTTTTGGATTTCCAATTGTTGAATTTAATCAATAGAAGATTTTTTGGTATTTCTTTTAATTTTTTGCTTTTATAAATTCTACATATTTTTATTTATTTCCATTATATATTGATTAAAGTATTTTTTGTCTTAACTTTTTAAAAAATCGTATATTTTAGTGGGACGGATTTGCATTAGGGATGTTTTAAATTAATTCTGATTTCTACTCTTTACTTTTTAAAACGATTAATCACTGTGGTTAGATTTTTATTGAAATGATTAAGATGTGGTGTTTTTGAGGGATTTTCGGAATTCTTTTACCAAGGAAAATTATTAATATAGCTTTATTTTTTTTAATGGGGAAATATTTTAATTACTTTCCATTTATTATTATGCTTTTAATTTAAAGCAAGATTTCGATAAATATATGTTAATTTTTATATTTATTTTTGTTAAAATATAAAATAAACTAGTTAAATTTATATATTAAAGTATATTTTTTGATATTTTAATTGGTATTATAATTAATAAAAAAAAATTAATATAATATAAACTATATAATGATAACATAATTAAAAAAAAAATCAATAAAAAAATAAATAAAAAAATATATTTATAAATATAAATATATTTATATGAATTTATATTTATATATATATATATATATATATTAATATATACATATAAATATATATTAAAAATTTTTTTATTATTGAAATTAATTGAGGATACATGATTTTTTGTTTTTTTTTTAAAAAAAATATTAAATTAATTTAAACAAATATATAAAATATAATAATAATTAAAAAAAATTAATTATTAACAATTAATTTACAAAAAAATAAATGAAGAAAAAAGTACTTACTATATCTTTTATCTTTTTATTCATTTCAATATTTGTTTCTCTATATTTTACCAGAATTCTTACCGAAATTTCTTGCAATTTAGAAAACTTAAAACTAAAAGCAGATTCATCATTACCATAAATAAACTAAAATGCAGTCCAAACATTATTAAACCACATTTAACCTTTTGTACTATCATTAATATCATCAAAAAAATTTACAGAATCATTTATATTTTCAATTTAATAATCTTTTTAGATATAATCATAAGATAGATTAGATGAATATATGTAAAATGCAAGTCAAATATACGATAATAATTTAAATATAAAAGGAATAAGTTCTACTACCTAATATTCTTTAGAATCGTTTATGTGGTATAAAGCAGGACCGATATAACCTCTTTCTTAAAATGAAAAACAGATGATAAAATTTAGTGTTTAAATATTAATTTTTTTAAGAGGAATTTTCGAGACTAATTAGCATTTATTAAAAAGCGTGTTTTTTTTTGAAGTTTAAGAGAGAATTTATGTATAATTTCCAGCAAAAAAAGACAAGAAATTTTCCAAAAACAAAAATTGGGATTTTTAATAGGATAATTTATTTAAAAAAGCAGTTGATTTTTTCAAAAATACTCCAGAAAGGAATTCATATGAAAAAATTTACATTTAATTTCAAGAAAATAGATTAGAAATAGAGTTTATGTGTATTTTTTACGATTATTTCTTTCATGGAAACAAGGATAATTAAAATTGTAATTTTTACGGTTTTTGTGCTATAGTTTGTCTTTAATTTTCTTTAGAAGAATAATATATGTAAAAAATATATTATTAATTATAAATAGGATATTAAAAATCATAAAAGAAGCTTGTTTTAGAAATTTAAAATGAGCTTTAAATTTATATTTTATAATTAGGAAATATAACCAAAAGAAAAAAATAAGATCAAAAAATATAAAAAAAATACTTATAATAATTGTAGAATGAAGAATGGGTACTTTGCAGCGAAAAAATAGAAGAAATTTTATAAGTTTGTTCAGTTTCTTTAAATTAAAATTATTTAGATTATTAATAAAAATCGAAGAATATAATTCTTAATAAATAACTATTTTATTTGGTCTGTGTATTACTTTTGCTCTTTTTTGTCTTTTTGGAATCGGGAATATATTAATGAGACATTCTAAGAATATAATAAGATAATTATATGAATTATCAATAAAATTAGATTAAATTACTAAAGGAGATTTAGAAGTCGAAATTATGAGTAATTTTGTTTAAAAAAATATAGAAAGTGGTGTTTTATATTCAGTATGTAATGAAATGAATTTATCTTTAAAATATTCAGATAATAATTACTATTAAGGCGAAGACTCTTAGATTTTAATAAGACTAAGTAATGCTTTGGCACATTTTAAGAAAAAAGGGTTCGAAAAAGGTATTGGGATTGCGTATAATAATATGGGGAATATTCATATGTAAAATTAGAGATATAATGAGACTATTATTTGCTATAATTAATCTTTAATGGTAATTGAATAGAAAATCGAAAAAGTTATTTAGAATTTTATTTAATAAGGAGATTTTGGGAATAATAATTTTTTTTTGGAAATTTTTTATAAGGTAAAACCGGTAAATGGATGGAAATCATTAAATAAAAATAAAAAATTCTCGTTTTTTTCAAATGATTTATATTTAAGGCCGGAAACTGTTTTAGAATTTGATATTTCTTAACTGGATGGTAATGCAGTTTAGAAATAATAGGATTAAACTAAGAAAAAAGCAAAATATTCATAAAATTAGATTATTATACTTGAGTAAATATACGCAGATAGATGTTATTAAATTGCTAATGCATATAGTATATATGCAGATAGTGAGAAAAATAAAAATAAAAATTTCTCAAAATAATTATGGGAATTAGCTATTGATAAGTATTTTTTTTTTTTTATTTTTTACCATTTTTTTTTTTTAAATAAAGATTTAAAATGGTTGCTGTTTTAGATAAAAAAAATTAAACACATATTAGTCTGTGTAGACTTATTACTATATATTCTAGATTAAGTGCTGTTTATTTAGAAAGGGCTAATTTTACGAAAAATGAAGAAGATTTTGATAAAGCTTTAAGTTATTAGTCAGTTGCTGATGAAGTATTTTATTTTTTAATGATTTTATTTATAAATTTTTATAAAGTTATAAAACAATTTCTATGAAAAAATTTATAAATTTCTTTCTGAAGAGGAGAAAAATTAAATTGAAAATCCAGAAATGATGAATTAAAGAGTACATTTTCACTATGCTATGTTTTTCAAACAAACTGGTTGGTATAAAAATGCTTTTAAATAATTTATTTAAGGACTTAGACTTGGTAAAAGATATGATCCTGCATTTAGGTATACTTTTTTAAATAATAGTATATATTAAAGAATTTACATAAAAAAATATACATATATATATTTTCATATCTAATTTTTGAAAATATTAATATTGTAAAAGGTATAATTATTTACAGAATATAAAAGAAATTTTAGAATAGTTTAATTTATTAAATTAAGCTCCTAAAGTACTCGAACTTTTATAAAGATATGAAAGAAAAATATCAAAAGACTTAGTATTTATAATAAACTTTTGTTAATCAATGGAAGAAAATAATAAAAAATAATAAGCAATATAATCTTTTTTAAGAATATATAATAAGTAAATAAATATATTTAAAAGAAAAGAAAATAACATATAATTAATTAAAATATAAACAGATTTATATAAGCAGAGGATAGATTTGGTTATATAACTTTTGATCAGAATGCACATGTTATTTTCGAATTAAGCGAGAAAAGTAAGAACGATCGATTTTTGAAAGAGTTTATTAAGGATAGTGTAAATTATGTTGGATATGGAGAACCAGCTTTATATATGAGTATTTATGAAGGAATTAGATTATTTTAAAAAGTTGAATAGAAAAACCATTAAAAATGGATTGTAGTTATTACTGATAGTGACGATGCAGATATTTCGAAAATTAAATAAAAAAAAATAGTTGATTTATTAAATTAAAATAAAGATATTAATTTAATGATTATTGGTTAATTTTTAATTATTTTTTTATAATAAAATAAAAAAGGAATTGAACTTGATTATAATTCAAAAAATAATCTTATTGGGTTATGTAGAGAAACACACGAAGGAACTTTTGTTTCTAGTTTAAGTAATGATGATTTAGATAGTGCTTTTTAATCTATTTCAAATATTGTATATAGAGTTTTTAATGGACCTACAGGAATTTCTATTTAAGATTTTATAAATGAAAATTTTTAATAGAATTATATAGATTGATTATTTAATTATATTTATAAATAATTTTTATTTTATTTTTATATAAAGATTTAAAAAAAATATTTTTTTTATTTATATATTTATTGAAAAAATAAATATTATCTTTTATTTTTTTAAATATTTTATGATAATAATAAAATTAATTAAAGATTTAAATATATAATTATAAAAAGATATACAATAGTATATTTCTATTTTTAATTAAATCTTTTGATTAGAATTTAATAAATATTTATAATTTTTTATTATTCATTAATTAATAATATGTAATAAAAGAATTCTTTAAAATATAAAATATTAAAATAAAATAAATAATATAGAGATATATATTAATAAAAATATTAAATAATAATCTTTTAAAAATGATATAAAAATATTAAAAAAATGAAATTATTATAAAAAAAATGAACTAATATAATCCTTTTTATTATAAGTTATTATTTTATAACTTTAATTATGTATAAAAATATTTAAAATATTTATAAAAAAAAATTATAATTATAGTTAATGTTTAATATTTTTATAAGTATTAAATACAAAAAACATAAAAACATATATTTAATAACAAATAAATAGAAACAATTAATATATAATTCTATAACTAATTATTAATATTAGGAGTATTTAAGAATATATTATTGCAAAAAAGTAAAAGTTCAATATGTAATATATTCAAAATAATAATGAATTTTATAGGATTAAAAATTTTTTATTTGAGTAAAAATAAAAAAAGTATAAATAAAAAAATAAATATATATATATATGAAAAAAATATAAAAATAGATATTAAATATTAAAAAAAAATATTAAATATTAAATATCGAATATTTTTAATATTAAATATAAAATAATATATAATAAATATAATATATTTTTAATATTAAATATAAATAATAATAAATATAAAATATTAATATTAAAAAATAAATTTTTAAAAATATATATATATTTTAATATTATTAATTAAATAAATATATAAACATATATATATATTTAATTAATTTTTAATAAAATAAAATATCAAAATAAATAAATATATTTAATTAATATCAAATTTATTATATTAAATATTAAAAATAAAATATTTAATATTAATTTTTTATTATTAGAAATATTATAATAAATATTTTTTATATTTAATATTAAATAAAATATTCTAATATATCATATAAAATATTTATATATAATATATAAAATTATATAATAAATAATTATTATCATAAAATATATAATTTTTTGAATATATTTATACAATATACATAATATAAATATAAACAGGATATATTTTTTTTTTATTTATGCCTTATATTTTTAACATTTCTTTTTATTTTATATATATTTATTATATTTTAATTTTTATATTTAATTAAATTTTTTATATTTTTTATTATTTTCTTTAATGTATTGTTACTTTTTTTTTTTTTTTTCGTCTTACTTATATTAATATTATTATTTTTAAACAAAGCAATAATAATAATATATAAATAGTTATTTGAATTTATTATATTAATAAAAATTATTATTTTTTTACTTTTATATTAAAGGTTTTTATTATTGTTATAATTTTATTTTGCGTTTATATTAAATTTGTTGAAAACTCAAAGGGATTTTCTTCTACTTCGTTAGCTAAATTGAAAAACATAATATAATTCAAAATTTATCCTAAGTTTAATTTTTTTTTTAAGTACTTGTATTTTATATAAAAATTTTTTAATTATTTTTATTATTGTATTTTAAGAAAACTAATAATCTTTATTTAATTTTATATATATAAGTGCGAATTATTTAATTTGAATATAATTAATTTAACTAGTGGAAAAAATATTAACAAGTTAAACTGAATATAATTATTAAATAATTATTTTTAAAATATTTTATAAACAAAGATTTTTTTTTGTATTTTATTTTTTAAAACTTATTTTTCTATGTTTTATTTAATATATAAGATATTTATTTTTTTTTTAAAAAATAAATTAAAAACTTAGAACAAATAAACTAAAAAATGTTTTTCTTGAATTTTTTAAAATAGAAATAATTTATTATTTCATAATAAATATAATTTTAATTAAAAAGTGGATATTTTATCAAAAAGGAAAAATCCATATAATTGAAATAAAATGTAAAAATTTTAAATGTTTTATGTAATTTTTATATTTGTTTTTTACATAATACATATTAATAGATTTAAAGAAAAAAAAAACTAAAGAATTATAAAAACTTAACTTAAATATAATTTAATATAAAGTTAAAAAATAATATTTTACATAAAAATTTAAATTTTATTTCATAAAGTAAATTTATAATAAATTTAAAATAAATATTTATTTAAAAATAAGCAAAAAATAATAAAATAACAACTAAAATATATTAAAGAAAATTTATTTATAACCATATAATTACCATATATTTTTATACGAATGATAATAATTAAAAAATTAAACAAAAAAAATAATAAAAAATATATATTTTATATATTTATAAAAATATATACATATATTATATATATATATATATATATATTAATGGAAAAATAATATTAATATCCAAAAAGTAATTAATAATTATTTTATTAAGATCTACCAAAAATTAGTATTTAAAATTAATATAAAAAATTAAGTGATATATCTAAACAAAAAAAAACTTAAAACTTATTACATTAGTATCTAAATCCCATATGATTATTTTAATTCTGAAATTAATATAAATAATATAAACAAAAATCAAATTCGTGAGCATTAGAATTCACATCAAACTGATATATTAAATAGGAAAATGACTCATAATTAAAATTCTTACTTTGAATTTCTCGAACAATAATATGATTAATAAAATTCTTAAATTTCTTAAAAAATTATTTCTTTTCCAAAACTAGATAATGATTAATCTTAATAAATTAAACAACCAAGCAAAAGCTTAGTATCTATTCCCAGTTATAAATATGTCTAAATAAAAAGATAAACTATTAACAATATTTAGTTAGAAAGTTTAAGTTAAATATTACCTAGTAATAATAATAAATAAAAGTTACCTCCTTTATTATAAAATAAAAATTTTAGTTTATCTTTACTTGAATAAATAGGAGGAGAGGATATATTATAAAACATACTCGAAAACTTTTATAAAATATATGAAAAAGGAGAACACTTTAAAATAAATAAAATCATATTTAAAAAGTTCTTGATAAGCTTACTAGATAGAAACATAAGTAATTAATAATAAATATGTTAGGAAATGAGAAATAATTTTAGAGATTTATGTTTAGGAAGGTTCCATTATTTATATATAGTTGGTTTACTAAAATTTTAATTAGAATAAATAAAAAATGTATAACCTTAGGTTATTTAAAAATGTATTAATGTGATATAAAATATAGATAATGTGATGATTTCGATGAGTATTTTAGAAGAAATTGGCGGGGAGGATAATTTAAAGAAAATTTTATAAAATATATAATTATATATATAATAAAAAGATGAAATCTTATTACAAATTTTGGAGAGTAAGAGAATTTTTTTAGATGAGAATTTATTTGGATTAGTTTTGGATTTTTTAAAGGTGATTTTAATTGATCCTACTATATTTAATAAAGAAAAATTAAAAAATATTAAATAATATGAATTTTCTTATTTAGATTTTTTTAAATTTAAATTCATTTTTTAAGAATAGGTTAAAACTTTTGGATGGAAAAATATAAATTAATGTTATTTTTTATTTAGGTTTGAATAATTTAGATTTTTCATAGTTTATGCTCCCCCTTATTATTAAAAAATACTCGAAAATTAACAGTCTGTTTAAAGTATTATTAAAGATGTGTATTTGAGAATGTAAAGAAAAGTTTTTGTGTATAATTTGATAAATAATAATAGAATAAGTGTATAAAATTTGTTGCTTTTTTGTTAAGAAATTATCGATTTTTTAATTTTACCACATAATAATAAAGAATATATTAATGTATTGAACGAATTTAAATATAATAAATATGTTTTAAATACTGAGTTTTTTAATTCATTTTAAATTTGTATTAATGAGGTTCTTTTTGTTTAATAGTTTGGTAATTTACATATGTAAGAAATCGAAAATAAAATCGAACTTATTTAAATTATTTATAAAGTTAAAAATTCAGTTTTTTAATAACTACCTAGTGATTGCATTTAAAAAATTATCGATATTTAATATGAAATTATCAATGAATAAGTACATTAATATAGTTAATTTGATGTAAAAAATTTATAATATATAACAAATGGGTAATTTTTTTATTTTTTTTTATTATTTTTTTTTATTTTTTTATATTTTTTAGAATTTTAGGAAATTGCTTTTAATTAATTATTAATGATATTATTCCAGCTTATTTATCTGTATGGGATATTTAAGCGATGAAAGTCTGGTTTGTTTTAGATGATTATTGGTTTGAGTTATTATTGCATGGTATTAAGGTTTATCTCTAATAGATTGACTGTAATATTGATTTAGAGTCTTTAATTATTGAAAAAATATAAGATTTATATCAATTAATGAAAAAAGTTTGAAAAACTAATTAATTATTTTTGTTAAATTTAAATTATTAAAGTTTTTTAATAATAAAACATATAAAGATTAATTTTTAAATAAAAAAATAAATTAATAATAATAAAAAAAAAAATTATTTTAAAAAAAAAAAAAAAAAAAAATTTTAAATAAAATAGTATCAATTTTGCTGCTTTTTTATTTAATCTAAAATATATTTTTAGAATATTTCAGTTTTATTAATTTAATTTTATATTATTTTTTTAGAAGAAAATTGTAGCAAAATTAGAAACCATTTAAACTAACATAACAATCATACATAAAATATATGGATTTTAGTTTTAAAGAAGAATATTGACAATTTAAAAAGTCACATTAGAAAAAGATAATACTATTCTAAAAACTTAAAATATTTCCATTTATCCTTCATAATCTTTAGAAGCAATTACAGAAGTCATATTTTAAAAATAACAATCACAAAATCCCCAAAAAGAAGCAATAACAAAACAAACAAAATAACTCTTAGTAAATAATCCTAAAAAGCATAATAATAAAGCTCCTTGACATAATAAAGTACCTAAAGTGGCTAATTTATAAACACAAAATTTATCAGCTAGTTTTCCAGAAATAATACCTCCAAATATTTCAAAAACACCTAAGGAAATTAATACATACGATAAATTTTGACTTAAATCATCCTTTTCATTTTTATTTAAAGGATAATCGGAAAATCCCATTGAGTTTTCGACAAGTTTATTCAAGAAACCAGAATAAAATCCAACAATAATTCCTGCCATTACCATAAAAGGAATAAAAGGTCTTACTTTTTTTCCCATCATAAGTTTAAATACATTACTTATTTATTATTTGATAGGCTATGTTTCTTCATTGTTTTATTATTATACATTAGGCAAGAGAAAAAAAAATAATGTAGCAACTAATCCCAAAGATGTCATAATAATAAAATAATAAAGATTATCTAAATATTTAAGAACAAAAGATCCTAATAAAGCTCCAGCAATAAGAGATGATTATTAAATAGCCCAAAATATTCCAAATAAATTTCCTCTCATTTCTCTTGATTTTATACATAATGTATCTATATAACTACCTTAAGCTATCTATATTAAATATATATATAAAATATATAAATATAAATAGATATATAAATATATATATATATTTATATAATATATAATATATATTTATTATATTTATATATATATTTATAGTTTTATTTATATTTATATATATGATTTTTATATATATATATATACATATTTATTCCTATATATTTTTTATTTTTATTTAATATTTTTTATATTATATAATTTTTATATAATTTTTAATATTATATATATAGTTTATTACCCATATAGTAGATGCAGCCATTCCACATAAAGAAGCGCTTAAAAGGACAATAAAATAAATAACTTCAGTTGAACATACTCCACTTTTAGAATTTTCTTTATAACATAAGCATACCCATATTCCAGACGCAGAATAAAAATTGTATCCCATAGAACTTAATATGAATGTTATTTTAAATGAAAGTTTTTTTATTATATATTTTGCAAACAAGCATGCTATTGCGAATACTGCATATAATACTAATAAAGATATTAAGCCTAAATTATTATATTCTAAATTTTCATATAATGTTCCTACTAAATTTTATGCAGAGTTAAATGCAGAAAATAATAACATAAATGAAAATGATAGAATTTATATTTTTACTTTCGAAGAATTATATATTTTTTTAGCTTCCTAAGGATCTATAGTTTAATTTTCTAGATTCAATTCTTTAATTAATTTGTCTTACATATGTATATTATTTTTTCTTTTTCTTTTTTAATTCTATATTTTCTTTGTTTAATTAATATTTTTGTCAAATAAAGATTAAATTACAATATTTTTAAATTAATATTATATCTTATTTTTCACTTCAAAATAAAATTATATTTGTCATTTTCACTTTTTTATATATTTTATAAAAATTATTAATTTTTTTTTTTTTTTTTTCAAAAAAAATAATATTTATATATTACATATATTTATTTATAAAAAACATAATATCAATTTTTTTTATATATATTTTATTAATAAATTATCTCTTTTTTATATTATATATTTGTTTAATTTTATTATAAAAATAAATTCAATTCTCTTTATTTTTTTACATATAACTTTATTTAATTTATTTTCTTTAATTAGTATTAAGCATATAAAGTTTAACTTTATTTTATTTCTCCCATTATTTTTCAAAATTCATATAATTATCAATTGAATGATGTAATTTATAATAATTATTTTATTTGGAATCATTTTATTTTTCAAAAGATTAATTAATCTTTTATTATTACTAATTTTTTTAAGCTAAAATAATATTATTAGTTTACTCTTTTTTATTTTTATTTTAGCGAGCATTTTAATTATTAAAATTATACCTTTTCATTATTTTTATTTAATTCAAAACTATTTTATTTCCTTTATTTTAATTATTTTCTTTTTATTTTTTTTCAGTTTTTTTATCTTCTAATATTTTAATTTATTTCGTTTTTTTTTCTTAATTATTCTCATTATTTAAATTTTTTTATTCCAAATCATGCTCTTCCAAAAACCACTGATCTAAAAGACTTTCTGGATTTATTTTAGGTTAATCTGGGTGATAATAAGAAATTTATTTATTTGTTTGGAAATTATTAAATGTGGGCGCATCAAACTAGAAATTAAATTAATTATTTTAAAAATTTTAAGTCATTTTTTATTTAATTTTTTTGTTTTTTTTTTTATGTTTTAAAACAAAAATTTAAATTTTATTTTTTTTAAAAAAAAAAATTTTAAATAAGAAATTTAAGATTAAAATTTTTATTTTTTTATTTTTTTTAAACAAAAAAACATAAAAATGCTTAAATTATTCAACTAAAAATACATTCCATTATTATTAAATAATAACCGAATTTTCCAAAAACAAGTATTTTTCTTTCAAAAACAAATACTAACTGAATAAAAAACTTAACCGAAAATCTTAACATAAGAAAAAATAAATGAAATAAAATCCATAAAAAATATAATGTAAAAGAAAATAGTTATAAGATAAATAAATTAATAGACAATTCCAGAATAAAAATAAAAATTTTAAAGTTATATAATAAATTTATTTAATATAAAACATTATTAAGAGAAAAGCGAATAATAATATTTTACTATTTTAAAAGAGGCATTAAATATTGATTTTTCTAAAAATAATATAATAAATCCTTATTTATTAATAATATTTATCGGAAGACATAAATTAGCAAAATATTATTAATATAAAATTACTTATGTAATAAAATTTTTATTGAATGAGTTTTTATAAGAAAATTCATTTTAAAATTTTCATAGTTATTTATAAAAAGAAGAATAAAAAATGTTCTAATAGTTAATTTATGAAGAAATATATTATATAACAGAAATAATTCCTTCTTTATTGATATAAATATCAAATAATGGAATTTATAATAAATATTTATTAGATTCTTATATGGATTTTATAAAAAAAGATATTTTATTAAAATCTAGAATTCATACTAATATAATTTCAAATCTTTATTGGTCTTATTTAAAATTTAATTATTAAACAGAATATAAAGTTTTTGATTAGGCACTTAATAATGCACAAAAATAAATGAGTTTTATGCAAATTTTAAGGTATTTATGGATTGTTACGCTTAATATTAAATGTTATTAATAAAGTGAAATAAATTATATAAAAAATTAGTTTTTAAAATTTTATTCTTAGGAAGAAAATATACATTTTAATAATAAAAATTCAATATATATTGTATAAATTACCTATGGATTATATTCTAATTATATAAAAGATATATTTAATTAAAATGAAGAAATTATAAAGTAATTATAAGAAAAAGATACTTTTTTAAAAGTTTTATATGAAATGTATAAAAATGCAATTTAGGTAAGGAAATTTAATTTTGAAAATTAAAGTTAATAATAATAATTAATAAAAATTTATAAAGTTAAAGATAATACTTATAATGAAATTATTAAATAATCAAATTAGAGAAGCGTTTTTTAATCAAAATTTGAACAAAATTTAAATTAGTTTTTAGGAGAAATTGATAATCCGGATTGCAGTATTGAAAAAAATATATTAATAGGAATTTATGAAATTGATATGATTATAAAGCCATATAATATTGTCATTGAGGTTAATGGTGAAACACATTATTACGAAGATGAATAGGATAATAATTTAAAATATTTCAAAAATTATATATTTAGAATAGAGTATATTTATTTAAATTGATTATATTTTATTTTATAAATATAAAAATAGATAACTTAAATTACTTGGATATGATAAAATTATATAAATTAAATATGATGAATGGTAAAAATGTTATTTCGATAAAAATTTATAAAAAAAATATATAATTGGCGTAATGAAAGAAAATAAGATATCACCAAAAATTTTATTTGGTAACAAATTCGAAGAATGAATATTAAAAATGAAATATAATGATATATATTTATTATAATTTTAGTTTTATTTTAATATATTATAAAATATATATTTAAATATTTTTATTTAATATTAAATAAAAATTATTATATATATTTTTTTTTTTTTATATAAAATATATATAAAATAAATTAATTATATAATTATTTTCACTATAAAAATAATATTAAATTATTTAAATATAAAAAAATATAAATAATAAAATAGATATATAAATAATATTTATTTTAAAAAAATATAATAAATAAAATATATTTATATTTTATTTTAATAAAATTAATTAAACACATTAAATAATTTTATATATTATTTTTTAAATTTATACATATTAAATATAATATAATATTTTATTGTATAAATTAATACATTTTTACATTATATAAACATAAATTATAAATAAATCAATATATCAAAACATTTTTTAAGTACTTATTTATTATTTTAAAATTATTTTATTTATAAATTAATTTTCTTACTTATATATATTAATTTTTACTAAAAAATAATTAAAATTATTATTAATTTTTAATATTATAAATATATAATAATAATTTAATATTCTTATTAAATAAATATATAATTATTTTTATTAAATTAAAAATAATACAATAGTATTTTATATTTTTTTAAATTTTATTTATTAATTATTTATTATATTTAATAAAAGCATATATTTTAATTTTCTTAACTTTTATTTATATTTATACATAATTTTAATTTTTCTTTATTTAAGTTAATATTTAATTATTCATTTTTTATTTATTTTTAAATATTATTCTCGATTCATTAATTCACCTGTATCTTCCTAAACTATTATTTCATCTTTTTAAAGTACTTTAATATCATCTTCAGCCTCCATTCTGTATTTATATTTTAGCCATTAATTATATTATTAATAATTATAATTTTAAAAATTAATTTTAGGTAATAATTTCTTACAATCCTCTTCTAAAACTGGTTCTTCGTTAATTATTTTATAATGTATTACTTCAATAAAATCTTTTTTTTCTTTAGAAATTTATGTAAACTAAGATTAAAATACTATTTCTTCTATTTTTTAAATTAATTATGTTTTTTAATTTCCTTTAACTATAATAAATTTCTTATCTATATTTGTATTATTTTAAAATTATTGTTAAGCTTATTATGCTTCATTTTATGCGCCATTTTTAAAAGTCTTAAATTAATTTAATAGGTTGGTAATAAAATTCTTCATTTTAATTATAACAAAAAGATTGTAAAATTAATGTCTATATATATAATTTCGATATATATTGTTGTATGAAAAATAAATGATAAAAAAAAAAATTAATAATAAAATAAAAGAAAAATAATATTGGAATAAAAAAAATAATAATAAAAGAAAAATATATTTAAAAAATATATAAATAATTAATATTTAAAAAATAAATATTGAAAAATAAATAAAAATAAGTATATAAAAAATTAAAAATATAAATAAAGATAAAAATTTTATATATAAAAAA